AAAAAAACACATCATGGTAAAATTAATACCTTCTCAGCTTCGCATCGAAGCTAAAAAAATGAATTTATTACCATAACAAGTAGCTCAATTTGCAAGTTTGAAATTGACATTATTAAATAGATAAAAATGAAATTGTTAAGATTAATATGCTGTCAGCAAATTTTATAATTACTATTTACAGTATATTTATCAGAAAAGTTAGATTTTTTTACATTTTTATCGTAATAGATCACTTAAATAAAAATCAAAGTAATCATTTCTAATTAACTTTTGGCGTTTAAAAAGATTCTACCATGGAAATATTCAGAATTTAATTAATTTTAATGATTATATATCTAAAAAAACCAATAAAAAAAAAGTTATTCAATTTAGCCTATTATAAAAATAATAATTATAAAAAATTAGGGCAGTGTATTGCCCTTATAATATATTTTAAAACAAAATAAAATACAAAACCCAGGATTTTAACACAAAAATAGCATATTTTTGAATACGGTAGCCATTTGGACATAGAAGATAGGTCGTCGGGACAAATTTTTTTTTTTCATTTTATATTACATAAAATAAACTTTAATTTTATATATGTTTAAAGGACGCAGTATTTCCGGAACATTTACAAAAATTAAGTTGAAAAAGTTAGTTTTTGTAAAAAAGTGTAAAGTACTTTTAAAAATAAAATTGGTTGAAAATAATCGGGGTGGTCAATTCAATTATATCTACTGATCTACTATTAAAAATATCTACTGATATAGGTAAAGTTGGGTTTGGTTAGTTTTGGTTATACTATGGGTATCTGATGAAGACGCGTTGGGTACATATTTTATCAGTTATATTTGAATAGTAACTGTTAGTGTTAAATGAATATCTTATATAATTTATTATTAAGCATTTACCTTCTATTTTATCATTAAAGAATGATTTTTTCATAAAAATGTACAGACTATAATTTGAATTATTTTTATAAACCATAGTATATATCAAATAAATTGTAAGAAATAATTATTTCTAAGGGTAGATTTTAGGGATAACTTTCGGAAATTAAATGGGAACCTATTATTTTTGTTATTATTAAACAAAAAATGGTCTAAATAAAATTTTAACTAGTCGATAACCAGTTTTGTATTATTAATTTTACATAGATTAACATTTAAAGATTTAATAAAGGTGAGAATCGGGGTTGTATTTAGCGACTCTCTAGTTTGACATGACGCATAGTTAAAAAATTGTCCACGTTGCGCAGCCCGCTCATCAACAACTCAAAAATTAATAATAGAATAATTGGTTCCTATTTAACTTTTGAAATATACCCCTAAGATCAACACTTAAACATAATTTTATTTTATAATAAACACAATATTTAGTATGATTTATTAAAATCAATCAATGTTTAATTTGTAAATTTTTATGAAAAAATGGGTGCAAGTATACTTAATAAGTCAATCAAGAATAAATCAAGAATTTCTAGAGATTTTAAAATATAAGATCTAAATTTTAGATCTTATATTTTAAAATCTGAATCATATGTATTAAAACATATAATAACAGTATGATAAGGTCATTATAACACCCTTAAGTAGTTATCAACTACTATATAAATTGTTCATAGTTTGTATAGTTATCAAGCAACGTCTTCTGTAATGATATTTTTTAAATTTATTATAGTAACTATTATTTATTAACAATTACTATTATTATCAAATATGATATATAGTGTATGTATATTTAAATATATTTAATGATATAAATAGGATAATTACGTAGTTTTTACCTTATATATATTTATAATTTTGCTGAAAATATTAATACTCACTACAAATTAATTATCTACTTTGGTTATTTATACTTTCCATCAACATAAATTTTATTACTTTACTGAGAAAAAATTATATAGAATAATTAATTATTTGTAATTGAATAAATTTATTTATTTATACAATTGACTGTGTATATACACACTCAATTGCTCTTTGTGACATCCATGGAAACTAATTTTCGATGTGCTTAGAATACTCGCATTTGTGATATGGCTGAGACTAATCTATAACGTCTATGCGTGTACTTTTTAATTATCTAAAGAAGTTACAATGTAATGTCACATGGATTTCGGTTTTGTTACATCGCATGCAAAAACTGCATAAGTCGGATTATTAAGGTTCGTCAGTACTTCTCAACAACTAACATAGGCACTAGAATGTAACATCACACATCTCGAAGTGATATCACTGCGACATCTCCGAGATGAATATTTGCACACAGGGTTCACGCGCAAATGGGGCATGTCATATTAAGAATGCATGTACTATGTAAATTATGTACCAAAAAATTTACTTCTTGTTATTTTCACAAAATTAATCTTCTTTTTCTTTTTCTTTGCCTTAATTCCAACTATTTGGGGTCAGCCACCCTTATCCTAAACTTCCCCTTGTCACGATCCCCAAATCATCTACGCTCACATCAGCTGTTCTCATATCGTATTCCTTAGCTCCCTCCATCTCTTTTTTTAATCTTTCTCTATCTTTTCGTTTGTAACTACTTAATTGCCTCTCACATTTTGTCACCGCGTACACCCGAGAGGGGACAATTCGCCTAAGTTTTGTTCAGGACACCTCATACTATTTGACAAAAATTTTAAGCATCCTCATTAGTCGCTTCTTACGACTGGCAGAGGGGCCGTGGAAGCATTCTTATCCCCTATCCACAGGGATATTTAGAAATATATTCATATTTATTTATGTATAGTTGGTTTATTTTTCTAATTTAAAAGAAGAGAATATAGTTTTCTAAATATCTGAAAGACGAGATGGTTTTTGAGGCATACATTTTAGGAACTAAAAAAAATTCTTCTTGGATATTACGATTTGTAGTTTTATCAATATTAATTTCTTTCTTTAAGGAATTTTCATCACTTGTACTTACTTCTTCGTTTTTGACTAGATAATGATTGGGGGTTTTTAATTTTTCCAAAAAAGAGTAAACATTTTCTTGGCACAAATGACCTGAAAAATAGAATATGAAAAGTGAATAAAGTTATCGAGGATTTCAAATAACAGATTAAAAGTATCTACATTATAATTTAAACCCTTATTATTTTATTATATTACTTGATTCGTACGAGGCAGCTAGATCGTAGGACTGCTAACTGTGCACCGCACTAAAATGCCGTTTTATCTTAAGCCTGTTTAAATCGCTATAATTGAAGCGGGAGTGGGGTCACCTCGGAGGATGACGGCTAACCACATATCCAATAAGTAAAGAGAGTTGACAATAATTAAATAACAAATAACCAAATATATTAAAAGTTCTTCAAAGAGAATCTTAAATTGAAGAGGTAACGGGGGCCCCTTAAATACTAATGGCCAGTGAAGCGGCAAAAACAAAATAGTTAAACTCAATTAAAATACAAAATAAATTGCATTAAAAAATAATATAAAATTCAGCTGAATAAATGAAGTTGTTAACAGTTATGAGGGGACTGTATGAGATCTTGTGGTGTAATGGTGTCGAATATCTTAGTATCACAAGTCAGAGTGTAGATCCAGACACGTAATGGCAAATGAAAACAGACGGCGGAAAAAGCGACTACAGCAATGAAGTTAATTAGTGATGGTCAGGGCCCAATCACTAGTGGCGTACGAGGGCACGAAAACTTTGAGCACAAAGCAATAAAAAAATAATAAAAATAACGGCGTACAAAGGCCAAATAATTTACCATACAAGCGATGGCGCTAGCTACAAAAGAAATATGACACATGAAACAATTGACTCACTGACATACGACGATGAACTACGGATGACAACTGACACAGGTCATCAATTTTCTGTGCTGGCTGGGCAAGGTCGTGTGTAAAACAAAAACCTTAGAGATCAGCCGTCACACGATATAATATAATCAACAGTATTTGTGACAACTGGTCCACTAGGTCTTTGCTAAAAGAATTCTCTACCATATATTAATTAAAACTGAATATTACTTAATAAGCTTATTGAATATATTTAAAACATATTTTTTTAGATATTTTATGTTAATAACTTTACGCAGAATTTGCATATTAAAATTTTATGAAACAGACATATTTTCAACAATTATAAAAACACAGTGTTTTATACTAATTTAAATGCAACAAATTGCAATTAAAATTGATAGTATACTTCCCATTAAAGCAATACGACTTTTAGATTTTTACAATAATAATAAAATTGTGTTAAGTATTTAGTTTTCAACTGTACTTTTTTTATTGTAATTATAATTATACTCATTTATAAAATAATATCATACTTACTTATTATTATTGGACGTAAAACATACGTGGTTGATTTGAATAAGTATTCTACTTTAAAAGTTTCTTTTATAGAAATGAAAGATTCTAAATGATGTTCTAATTCTGTAATATAATCTTGAATTTGATTCATATTTACTAATAAATCATTATAAAATACATCAATATTTGTAATTGTGATGATAGCAACTGAAATTCTATAATCAATTCTATTGTTCAACATTAAGTTCTCCAATGATTTAATCAGCATATTTACCTCAGTAAAGAAATCTTCTTTCTTCTTTAACTTAAAATAATAAATACATTGGATTGTTCTGTGTAAAATACTTTTAAAAAAATCATTTGGATCTTTTCCAAAAATTTCCAAGTTAATAAAGTACTGAAAGTAATAAATTATTCTAGAACCAACAATATTCATATTGTTAAAGAACGTACTTTCTGTAAAGTTAGGTTTATCTAAATCATAAATAGATGTTGAACTACTAAGAATTCTCAAGTAATTTTGTATAAGTAGAGATATTGGACGAAATGTTGCAGTCAATACAAGAGTATGGAAGAATTGTACGTCGACTCTAAAAAAAGAGTACTTAACGTACCTGAAAAAATCATAAAGTGTAACTTGGCTTCCATCGGAACAACTTAATGTTAATGGTGCAAATCGTAAAATATCTAATACATTTGTTGGGCAATCATTTTCCAAGATTTGGTGTTGCCGAGCCTGTGCACGTGATAATAAGTCCCTCTCGGATATTTTATGTCGGTTTGTCATGAAATCATATAACAATATGTTCTTTGGATGAAATTTCCAGTATTTGCCTTTATGAAATGTCTTTTTAATTTTCTTGAATATTCCGCTATTTTTTGTGAACTTAATGTTAACATCGGTTATGTTTTGTTGGCAATCATCTAGGAGTAATCTGTCTCTAAGTTTATTAGTAGTAAATATTAAGTTTTCTAGATTGTAATTTCCTGTGCTATTGTAATTAGGACACAAAACAAATATTTGATCATATGAAAAATTTTTGCAAACATTCTCCGTATAATTTTTTAATTGAAATGAAATGAATTTATGGATCATCAAGTAGCCTTGAATGATACTTGATTTTACATCTGAAAGATCTATTTTGTTTTCCTCATCTGTAGCAAGCATATCCGTGTAACCCGAAACATTGTTCAAGTATAAATTAATAGCCATTAACTCTTTTGAGTAATAGTTCATGTTTTTAGAATACATATTTTGTAGTGTTTCTAACATTATTAGAACTATTTCACCATGACTCTGAATTGCTACGCCATACAATTTTAGTTCCTCTTCATTGTATAAATTCTTGCTGTTATTAATTTCAATTAAATATCGGTGATTATGATTAAAATAATTTAACATGTACATGGTAAAATTGCACTGCAAATCACGAGACCAAATTCCTACAGCATAATAAATGTGTGTTAATATAATAATATTTTTAAATATCATTTTGGATTACATTGACTAAAAAAACAATGTACTTATTTCGACTAATATTATTTAAAGTATTTTATAGTTTTATGAATTCAATTTTATTTTAATTATTTGTAATAAATCATTTTTTTAAGGTGTAAATAAAATAAAAAATTTATTTATGTAAACCAAAAATAATATCCAACTGTTGTTAAATATACAAAATAAAATTTAGAACTATATTTTAATCATTTAAAATTTACCATTTTAGATTCGATACGAAGCTAAGAAGGTATTAAATTTAATATTATGTGTTTTTTTATATCTGCTGCCACTTTTTTTCAGCTTTCATCGGACCGATTTCTTTCAACGATAAGTCAAGAGATCACAAATCGTATTTAGTAAAATAAATTGCCCTTAAAAATTGAAAAAAATTTTCCTCTGTCCTTGTAAATGGGAGAAATCCCCCACAAAGTTACTATTTTGAAAATTGGTAATTTTCGACATTTTTAAACTTTTTTTTTCTTAAAACTCTTTGAAAAATTAATGTACTAAAATAATTTTTTTTTATTGAAACTTTAAATATTTTCGTTTCATTTAATATAGTTTTTTATAAATCGGACCCTTTACCTGCTCAAAAAAAGGAATACAAAATGTTAAATTTTTGAAAATGTTCCAGAAATACTCTGAGCTTCAAACATATGTTAAAATAAAGTTAATTTTATGTATTCAATGTCAAAAAATAAAATTTTTCCTGGCGCCTTATCTTCTATATAAAAAATAGTTACCGTATTTTAAAAACATGCAATTTTAGTGTTAAAATTTTCGTTTTCATATTTTATTTTTTCAACTTTAAATTGCTATAACTTTTTGAAATATGTACGTTTAATATAATTTTTTTTCAAAAAAACTTCATTTATTTGAAATACTATTTTTTTAATCGGACTACTTTCCTTTATTCAGGAGGGGTTAAAAATTTTAAAATTACTAGTTCAAAAACCCAGCACAGTGAGGTCGTGGCATAGTTTGGTCCAGTATAGATGATATCTAACAGTGATTAAAATCACAATTANACATTTTTCAAAAAGTTATGGCATTATAAATTTAAGAAGATAGAATAGAATTTTTTTTACAAAAATTGTAAATTTTTACGATTTTTGAGGGTAATGTCTTTGACTAGATACGATTTGTGATCTTTTGACGTATCGTTGAAAGAAATCAGTTCGGTGAGAGCTGAGAAAAAGTGGTAACAGACATAAAAAAAAATAAATACACATAATATTAAAATTAATCCTTTCTCAGCTTCACATCGAAGCTAAAAGCAAAAATTTTTCAACTTAACTTTTAAAAATGTTTCGGAAATACTCTAATCTTTGTGACAAATGTATGTCAAATTAAAGATTATGTTTAATACTATATTTAAAAAAAAGTAATTTAACCTCATGAACAATTTTCCTCTACATTATATAAATTATTTATGTTATTAATTTGGGTTAAATATCGATGATTATGATTAAAATAATTCAACATATACATGGTAAAACTACACTGAAAATCATCATAATTAATTCCTGGGATATAAGTAATGTGTATAAATGTTATAATATTTTCAAATATCATTTTTGGATTTCGACAAAAATTAGTCAAAGTATTTTATAGTATTTGCACTTATAGTAATTAATTTTAATAATTCTTTATTTGATTAAGTGTACATAGAATTGTAGTTTTCTATGCATTACATTAATATAATATTTATGTAAGTTAAAAATAATATCTAATATTCATAGATTTTAAAGTGTATAATAAATTTTAAACCAAACCTTATAATTTATTTTTTTTAAATATCAATTTATTTTTATAATTATTTAATATTGCAAAATCATAATGTAATTTTATTTTGCATGACTGAATTATATTTAGTAAAATTCAATTCAATATTATCAAAATTATATATTCATTATTCATTTTTGCATACTGAAATTTTACTTAAAGGGTATAGGGAATAAATGCATAGATCATACTATAGTAAGCTCGAGAGACTCTATTAAAGTTACATCATTTATGAAGATAAATGCTTTGATAACTCTTACAATTTAAAATTAAAAGTTTCAGTGAAGATATATAAAATAAATTTAGAATCACAGTAACATTTAAGGTTAGACGGGGCGCTTTCTTATTAGTAGTAATGGGGTGGTTACCCCCACACAATATTTTCAATAAAAAAGAATATAATTTTTTACCTATAATCGATAAACACAAAATATTTTTGCTTCGATGCGAAGCTGAGAAGGTATTAATTTTACCATTATCTGTTTTTTTTTTTTTGTGTGTCTGTTACCACTTTTTCTCAGCTCTCACTAGACGGATTTTGATGAATAATAATATGTCAATAGATCACAAGTCGTATCTAGTTGAAGACATTACCCATAAAAATTGAAAAATTTTACCCTCGTTCCCCGCAAATGGGGGAAATAGCCAAAAAAATTATAAATTTAAAAATCGGTAAATTTTGTCATTTTTTTCACTTTTTTTTCTTAAAACTTCCATAACTTTTTCAAAAATAAACAAATCAACATAATTTTCATTCAATATCATTTTTTTGAAAATGTAACACTTAATCTGCTCACAGGGGGAATTGAAAATAGCGTTTTATTTACAAAAACTAGCTTTTTCAACTTAACATTTGAAAATGTTCTTTAAACGTATATCATATTATATCAATTAAAATTATGTCAAATTCTATAATATTAAAAAAAAAAATTTCTCCCGATGACTTATCTTCTATTTGAAAGTAATAGCTGTCGTAGTTAAAAACATTCTATTTTTGTGTTAAAATTTTTGATTTAATATATTCAAGTTTAAATTGATATAACTTTTAGAAAAATCTATGTATCAACACAATTTTTTTTCTGAATACATTATATATACCTCTTTTATTTAACATACTTTTAATTTAAATTGGACAATATCCCTTTTTTACAAGAAGCGTTCAAAACTTAAATAATACGTATATAGAGTAGAACTTTTTCAACTTAACTTTTGAAAATGTTCTAGAATTACTGCGTATTTTAAACATATGTCAAATTAAAACTTACAATAAATACTATAAGTTCAAAAAAAAAACCCAGCACAGTGGGGTCGCGGCATAGTGGGGACGTTGCATAGTTGGCTCCAGTATAGATTTAATCTGACAGTGATTAAAATCACTATCATAAGAAACGCTTCGATGCAAATCTATAGATAGTGTTTAATTCTATGGATAATTACAAAAGCAACATCAACTTCTATTTCCTTAATTATAGCCATATTAGTAATTCTTTTAATTATATAGTATATAATTTTTAAAATTAATATTTTCTAAGCTTCGCATCGAAGCTAAAAATATATCTCTTTTTTGATTATACAATTGGTTTTAAGTTTTCCTTTTTGGCACAGCAATAATAATATTTTTAGTATATCAACAATATTAATTTTATAAAACTACCACTATGAAATCTAATAAACAATAACTACAATAAAAATAAACCTATTTAATAACTAGGAATTCACTAGTAATTTAAATAAATAAATTATAACTAGAAATAAGTATATAAATTTGTGACTGTGATTTATCTATTAAATAGATTTATCTATTTAATATAATCTATAAAATAGATTTATCTATTTTGTAATAAATAGAAAAGAGAAAGGGTAAGAAAGAGATGGTAAAGATGTGGTATCCAAATGGATTCGTAGATAGATGGTGAATTGTGATGTTCCTTGTTGACGTCGATATTTTAAGTTAATTTAAATAAATAAAAATACTGGTATAAGGGGCAACATACTGAATTTATTTCTATGATTTTTAATTAATTATTTTAACAAATGTATATAATATGTTATATGTATGTAATATGTTTTATAATTAAGATTAACAAAAGTAACATAAATTTTACATAAACTTTTAACATAAAAAATGAGAGTATGCAAGTGAAAGAGTGTACGAGTACAAGAGAGAGAGAGTGTCTGTGCTAATTTTACTAGCCCTTTTATATTAAACTAGTTGGTAAGGTGATAAAGGGAGGCTAGTTTTTCTTAAAAATTTAACTATTTAATCCTGCCGTCTGTTCGGCGCCACAGATACGCCTATGGTAATTAAAAATTTGGACATTAATGTAAACATCGCTCCAAATGAACGATGTATTTGTAAAAAGTAATAAAATAATAGTCGTTCAGAAAAGTATTTAAAATTGATAATTATTTATGTGTAAAGATTATTCTAGAAGTTTCTCGAATAATCTCGAAACTTCTATTTTGATTCATTACATATTTTGCTGACTATAATGAAAAAGAAGTAATAATCTATTCTCTAAGAAATCTTCAATATTTTGAGGAATAATTAAAAGTAAACACAACTACATCACTTACAAGTCACTATCACAAAATAAATTTCTTAAATGAATTGATTATTTCCATATAATATAAAGCAATCGTATATTATCTTTTTTATGCTTACAAAAATATTCCAATAATTATTCAACAATAACACGAATTAAATAAAAAACTGACAGAATAGTAAAAGAAATATGCGCACTGTTCAACTGCCATAGGCACCTGGAACAAAACTTAGAACATAATACTACACAAAAACTAAATTGAATAATCAACTATTACAGAAAATTTGTTATGTTAGAATAATTACACAAAATAAAAATAGGAACTTTAAATTTAAAATATCTGTTCTTAAAACAAAACTTAACAAAAATAATATCACAGACACATCGAACTCCATATTAATACACAAATTTCTTTATTCAAAAACATTTTACNATTAAATTACCGTGTAACTCCAGCGGTCCTGGGGCTGGTACTATCAATCCTACCGACTGCGCCATGTTATGTATTTTAGTAATACATATTTTAAAAATGAGTACAAGTTAAGTTATTTCAATAAAAAACTTTATTTTAATAATAATCATGAGAGCTTCTGCTTATTACAACATTAATACATCTTAATAATAAAGAGGACCTAGACGCTGGCTGCCCAACAGCGCAGCCACCAATACACAACATTACTTAAACTAATATTTCATGGTCAGGTAAAGGA